AGGGGCGCCTGGGTGGCTCAGTCGTTAAGCGTCTGCCTTCGGCTCAGGTCATGACCCCAGGGTCCTGGGATGGAGCCCCACATCAGGCTCCCTGCTCCGCAGGAAGCCTGCTTCTCCCTCTCACACTCCCCTTGTGTTCCCTCTCTTGCTGTCTCTCTATCAAATAAATAAATAAAATCTTAAAAAAAAAAATTGTACTCTAAAATCTGAGCACTTTTAAAATTTATTCACTAAACAAATACTGAGAATTAACACCTCATACTAACACCTAAATCTCTTCTATTGCCCCTTCCATACTCCTGCCAAATGGGACTACTCACTGTTGTCCAAACATAACCCAAAATTAACGATACGCTTTACTGCTTTTTATTATTTATCACGCGAGTGTGAATGGGGGTGGGGGAGGGTGGTGGTGGTGGGTGGGAAAAAGATAAGGAGGGGCAAAGGGAAAGAGAGAATCTTAAACAGGCTCCACACCCAGCACAGAGCCCAATGTGGGGCTTCATCTCATGACCCTGAGATCACGATCTGAGCTGAAATTAAGAGTTGGATGCTCAACCAACTGAGCCATTGAGGTGACCCACCTTACTGCATTTTAAAAGAAAAAAATCTAGCTTTTTGTTTTCTTCATATAGTAACAAAACCTTTTTGTTTTATTTTAATAAAACTTTTTTTTTGCTTCCTTCTTACGATAATACTGGGAGGAAATAAGAAAAAAGAAAGATAATTTCACAACTCAGAAATAACTATAGCTAATGTCTGGTGGGTATATGCTTAACTTTTTATGTAATTATTTTTATAAAAGTTCATACTGTTTTGAAAATTAATTTTACTAACTGCAAAATGTTGTGAGCATCTTTTCATATCACTTGACAATTATCTACCCTACCATTTTTAATGCACAGTTACCTGTAACATGGCTATACCATAATTTACTATGCTAAATTTTTGACTTTGGAATATTCAGGCTGTTCTACTTCTTCTGCTATAAACAAGGCTGTAAAGTAGAGCCATGATTCCTAAGGGAAAGACAGTTCCCACAATTACATCATTCCTCCAAGATCCAACTTAACCCTTGTCTTTTGGACTGTGAATTATACTGCCAATTTGTCTTCCAGAAAAGTGTACCAATCAGTGTACACAGCATATTAGTAACACCCTTACAGCAATTACCCTGCTGTTTTGGAATAGTCTTTTATGTACTTGTCTTACCCTCCTTCTAGTCTATGTATGACTAATAATTGTATCTAAAGTTGCAAAGAACTACATAGAAGGTTTACCATCCCATACTAATTCCAATGCACTGTTTGCTGAACCCACATGGTGACTGATCAAAAGGCATTATTGCACAGATATTTCCTTGCTCTGTCAGTCGATGAGAGGGCCTAGAAGCAATGAAATCCAGTAGCAGTGAGCACACCTAGTGCCAGGATCTTGGTTTCTAATACCAGTTACCAACAAAAGGAACCAGGACTCCTTACAGAAATAGTTGTTTCTAAGACTGGGGCAGGAAATATACAAGATGAACCTGGACTATCTAGAAGTGCCAGAGAGTAAGGAAGTGCTTCCCCTGTATCCTGACTATGAAGAAAACAAACCCGTAACAACAGGAGTATGCCAAAGGGAAAGAGGACCCAAATGAAAGAGTTCCCAATGGCCAAAGCTGGAACAATTTAAACAAAATAAATGAAGTAGTACTGGGATTATAACCTAAGTATAAAATAAAAATCCAGGAGTCTATACTTATATAATTAAATGACTAAATAAATAAATGGGGGGGGGGAATGAGACAAATACCCTATGCAGAAGAATTCCCAGTAACTTTCATGCTGCCCTCTTGGAGGAAGCCCATTCCTGGTATGGGCAGCACAGAGGGACTTCCTTTGGAAGAGCAAAGTATGGAAAGGGGAAAAAACAGTGACTTAACAGTGAAGAAATATGACAAATATGCCCTCAGCCAGATGATCAAGGTCAAAATCAACAGTGGTGAGTCACATTGATAGTCCCTACCCTTGATAAGAGATGATGAAAATGGTGCTTTACCTATGTGTTCATCCCCAAAACTCATAATCTCATGAGAAAAACATAAATTCCAGCTGAGGGGCATTCTATAAAATACCTGACCAATATTCCCAAATATGATCCAAGTCATCAAAAACAAGTTAAAGTATAAAGCATTGTTACAGTCAAGAGGAGCCTAAGGAGACATGAGGCCAAAATGTAATATAGTATCCTGGATGGGATCCACTACAGAGAAAGGACATTAGGTAAAAATTAAGCAAAACTAAATAAAGTATAGGGGCACCTGTGTGGCTCAGTCGGTTAAGCGTCTGCCTTCGGCTCAGGTCATGATCCCAGGGTCCTGGGATTGAGCCCCGCATCGGGCTCCCTTCTCTGCGGGAAGCCTGCTCTCCCTCTCCCTCTCCTACTCCCCCTGCTTGTGCTCTTTCTCTTAAATAAATAAAATCTTTAAAAAAAACTAAAGTATAGATTTTGGTTAATATTAATACATCAATATTGGCTACTAATGTAAGATGTTAATAATAGGGGAAAGAATGCAGGGTATATGGGAACACCCTATACTATTTTCACAATTTCTGTAAATCTAAAACCACTCTTGAATATAGCTTATTAGAAGAAAAAAACTGCATTATCTCCTTACACAAAATGGAAGTTTGGGCTTAGCAAGGTTAAGCCACCCAACTTCACATACCAGTACTTACTATGCACTCAATAAAATGCTGAACAGAATATGTGGAATAAAACTGGTGAAATGAATGCTGTGGGTTTCAGCTCAATAGTAATCAAAAGTAGGCTCTGTTCATGTGACAGATTTATAGATGATTTCTCTCTTGGCCCCAACTCTTACGCCCTTTCAGTGTATATGATATAAAGCAATGGTGAGGCTTTGTTACTTAATTTTTAAGGTTCTTCTAAAAAAAGTTTCTGCAGCGAAAAATCTATGGAAATGATAATACTTATATGCTTTTTTCTTCTCTCCATCTAAGTTTTGAAAGTCATCCATTAGTTCAAATCACAGTGGTACCACATTCTGTAATTTTTCTGGATGACTATTTTTATACCTTACTGTGAGAATTGGCCCACTGGGTAACTTCTCAGGATTAACAAGGTACTGGGAACTGGCGGAAACCCTTTGAATACACACCCTTTGTAAACTCAAGTTGAAAAATAGAAAGCTAAGAATGGCAGGAAGAAAAAGAAAGTACCCAAAGAAAATGCAGTGGAAGGCTGCCATGAGAAATAACCAACACAGGGAAGATTATTATTTCCAAAGTAGCTTGTTGCCTAAAGAAAAAAACAGATCTTGGGATTAGTCTGTAATGTTAATAAATGACTTGTTAGGGGCGCCTGGGTGGCTCAGTCGTTAAGCGTCTGCCTTCGGCTTGGGTCATGATCCCAGGATCCTGGGATCGAGCCCCGCATCGGGCTCCCTGCTCAGTGGGAAGCCTGCTTCTCCCTCTCCCACTCTCCCTGCTTGCGTTCCCTCTCTCGCTGTGTCTCTTTCTGTCAAATAAATAAATAAAATCTTAAAAAAAAAAGTAAATGATTTGTTAAAAGCCATCATGTAACACTTAAGAAAACAGAATAAAACAGAAACCACCAAAACCCCACTCAAATCTATTACACCACATTCTATCTTTTCAATGTTTCACAGAAATTAAAAAAAAAAAAAAAGGGTTATATTTTGCTCTTAAAAAGTCAGCTATAGCTTGTAAGAAATGATTTTAAAGACTTAATTTTTAAAATCCCCTAGGATAAAAACCCAAAAGAAGAAAACAGAAATTGAAGGGGTGCTAAATGTTTATAAGTGAATAAATGAGGACTAAACACATCCTTGAGGTATAATCATTCTCTCTTAATTACATATAACTCTCATCATTTGTAATTTAATTTTGTATGTTTTGGAAACAGCAGAATTGCTTAAGTGAAAAAATAAAGAAGACTTTTATGCTAATGAAAACAGATGTTCCTGTGTTTGGACAAGACCAAGATGGTCCTACAAAAATCTGCAAAATCTGTAAATTTTATTTCAGTTGATCATGTTAAATCTAAGCATTTCTAATTTGATAGAGCCCAAAAAGGTGATTAAGGAAAACAGTAACAATTATTTTGTCTCTTGAACAACAGCTCTGTCTTTAAAAATCAAATACTGTACCCCTCCTTAAGGAATGCTTCACACAGGAATTCTGACAAAATAAAAAGAAGGTATGCGGGATATTCTTAGAGATTTCTGAAATTTTGGAGATTTCTGAGATGTGTTCGAAGATTCAATAAACAGACTCACAGGTTACCATAAATTCTCTGACACTGTGTGCAATACTTTGCGTGTATTTTTCTAAGAAAATGTTCAGGAATTTCAAGACTCACTAGAATGTGACGCGCTTCACGAGTGCAGAGATTTGTTTTGTTCACATGCCATCTACAGCTCCTAGAAGAGTGTCTGACAAATGGTAGACATTCAGTAAGTATTTGCTAAATAAATGAATTCTCAAGGGGATATATGATATACTTAAGGTTCAGGGCTACTTATTTCCTACCGACAAATTTGCTTTTACAGACTTAAAAATAATTAACCAACAATAACAAGAGCTAAGATGGATCTGCTGCCATTGTTTTAACTGCCTTATATATAGACAGATCATATAGACAGATCTATCTATCTTAACCCTCTGACAAAGGGGGGAAGAAGTTAAATCATCTGGGTAGAAAGGGGAGGAGCTGGGCCTGGAACCCAACTGTTTTGGCTTTTTAACTCACATTCTTAACCCAGATAAACATACAGTAAAAGTGAGCAAACTCCCTTATCAGCAGTGAGTGGCATTTTTAGTTCTTAACATATGAAAAAAAAGCTTTTGTTTTCTAGCTCTTGTAACTAAAACCAACATGACACAGACTTTGGGAAAATATGCTTTTTCTTTTGACTCATATGGAAGTGCTTCCTTGGATAAAGACTGTTCAGTTGGTTTAAAACAGGAGTAATTAAGGCCCTAACAACAAGTAGACAGAGAAATATATAATGCTCTTAAACATAAAAACAAGTGAAGAAAACCTCAACATGTGGCCCTTCTAGAAGTTATTCAAAGAAAAGGCATTTTCCCTTATTGCTAGGTGGATTCCAACATGTATCTTAATCATAAGACCTTGTACATCAGTGGTGGTTCTTTCCCATCAGACTTGAGATTTATGACGTTGGCATATTTCCAACTTTGGGAGAGAGGCCAACGGACAAAATGTGTATTTGGCAGGTTTTCCTGTTTAATACCTAGTGCCCTGTGGGGGATCTGCAATTTAGGACATAATTCAGAGAACCACTGTATATTACCAACATCATAATTTATCTCAACCAAATGAAATTTTAAAGAAGATAATTCAGGTAGCAGGAAAAACTGACACATAATATAAATGATGCAATAAGTGTTTTTGTTTTTTTACCTATGAATAATGCTAACCAGAACACCGTAGAGCTCAGTATGAAATACCTTTGCTAATCATCTTTAAAAAAAAAAAAAAAATCATTTCTCAGAAGCAAAACCCATTTGGGTTTCTCTATTTTTGTCTCATTTAGGAAAGTGCTCTTCCATTTCTAGACAATCAGATAACTATACTAATGCCCAATGCTACTAGTTTCCTTTACTCTCTTTTTCCCATCCAATAAAGAAAACAACTTACTCTAAACATGCACAACAAAAAGACAACTATGTACTATGACAATGAACTGCCAGAGAATATTATACAGAGCAGACTCAGAAAGCAGGCTCCAGTAATGTCTGCCAGACAAGTAAGTGCCTCTAACTTTAATACATACTTTAGCACTTGTCAGCTAAATAGTTACATACTTCTTACGTTAACTCTATGGGATACAATGTGACAGAAAATTAGATGACTTCTTCAGAAAAGATACCTTTTTAATAAAATAATGTACTGCTACCACATTATTTCAATCCAAATATGGCATTATAGTGCCATTCTAAAAATAAACCTAAGTCCCATGTGATATGCAGTCTTTTAGCTATGTTCATTTCCTTTTAGGGCTCAAGTTTCCCACAGGAAAATAATTCAATGTTTGGCAAAACGGTCCCAAATCATGTATAGATAAGGCATAAATGCTAACTGCACTGTCAACCTTTTCCTGCTTTGTTATTGTTTCTTCTTCTTCATAGTAATCCATCATGGAGAGGCCCAAGAAGCAGGAAATACTCATGAACTGTTACCTGACAAAAGTGAACACAAAAAGTGTCATTTTGATTAAAAAGCTGGTAGGGGAGGTAATCTATGAGTCAGCTAAATTTGAAGTCACAAAACTATTATATACAAAGTCATATTTCAAATACATGTTTCTGATAACTCTGATAATTTCCAAATACTTATTTCAATTATATTACTGAGTAAGACCATGTATCAAATGCCTTCTTAGTACAGCTTAATACTCTATTGTTTGACTTACATTATTTCCTTATTTTATAAAGCATTATATGCCCAGAACCAAATCTTCTCAAAATCACCCATTCATAATACACCACACACACATGATCAAGATACATTCCTCATGCTATATTTTTATATAATCAAATAATCAAATTATGATTTCTAAGAAAATATTCATATTTCATAATGCTTAACAAATACTCAGTTTTAAAGTTAGTTTCTTCTGAAAATAACTCTTAAGCTAGAGAACTAAGTTTAGCAGAAATATACAGCAACTACAAAATGGCTAGATATATTAAAATGACTTTACAACTCTATTATAGAGTTCCTAGCTCTTACAACAGTTAACACAATTAAATGAGAATCTGTGTTTGAATGATATTAATCACAAACATCTCCATTTGTGAACTGCTGAACTGCATTTAGAATTCTTTTTTTTTTTTAAGATTTTATTTATTTATTTGACAGAGAGAGACACAGCGAGAGAGGGAACACCAGCAGGGGGAGGGGGAGAAGGAGAAGCAGGCTCCCCGCAGAGCAGGGAGCCCAATGTGGGACTTGATCCCAGGACCCTGGGATCATGACCTGAGCCAAAGGCAGTCGCTTAACTGACTGAGCCACCCAGGCGCCCCTGCATTTAGAATTCTATAAGAGGTTTGCATTCAGATACATATTCACAGACTATATGTTCTGGGTTTCGACATCTATTTTAGTTATATATTTTTATATAGCTTTCAGGTAAAAATAATGTTTCCTTGAGCCCCAATATATAAAAACAAGTTTGAGATTTTAGTATTTCCCTAAAGAACTAATCTTAAGAAACAATTATCAAGAAACAAATATTTAAAAGCTATCTTATTTCATCATTAATGTATAAAGCTGTAACTATTTAGATATTTTTCTATTAACCTAAAAACTTAAAACTTATCAGCACAAAGGTATAATACCAACCAAACTCTATTAGTACCTTTGTAGTAATGCCTTTCTACATAGGTATTAAGAGCCCTCCTGGAATTAAATTTTTTAAATGTTTTTCTATTTAAAGTTCTTGGGAAACAGCATTTTTAAAAGATACTGGACAAGCAGTGATCTTCAATTTTATTTAAGGAAAAACTTCACCCTCTAATCTCACCAGCAGTACAAATACTGTAATTAGCCATAAAAGCTTTCTAGAACCACCCATGTCATATATTTTCACTTGCCCTAACAAGCTTTTCTGAGGTGGCTGCCAGTGATCAACGGAACTTTCTAACTAAGATTTTTCAAATCTTAATTGGTTTGGTTGAAAGTACCAATGGAAAGACTATTTTTATTTAATAACACATCAAAATCTGAATAGTTTCCTTTTTCCCCAACCCTGCTAGCAACACCCATTTTCTAAGCACTTGACAAATGTTGAACAATCCTTTGGACTTATTTTGGTGGTATGATTGAGTCTAAGGGAGGTATAAGACCTGGCTGGATTTGAGTCCCAGTTCTGCAACTAATTAAGTCACCCTTTGGGTCTCCCTTTCCCCATCTGTGAAGGAAGGGTCTAGACTGCAACCTCTAAGGGGTCTTCTAGCCCTGTCACTTTAGGATTCTATATTATGTTATTTACCTACTCAAAAATCTTAAGTGCATCTCCAATTCCTAATTAAAAGCAAATCCCTTAGCCATTTATTCCAAACTAGGTAGTCTCAATTTATCCTTCTGACCTTACTCTGCATTACACCTCAACTTGAAGCCTCTGGCTCATCCATGCTGCTCTATGCACACAAGGAAGACAGCAGCACCTGTTAACATGTACTGAATGCTTACTATGGGTCAAGAGCTTCACATGCATTCGCTCGTTTAATCCTAATACTTGCATAAAATAGTGCTATTAGGCAACAGAGACTAAGAGGGATTATGTACCTTGTCGTAGTAGGTCACAGCTATTAAGTGGCAGGGCTAGAATTCAAACCCAAGTCTGTTTGCATCTCAAGCACATACTTTTAATCACTACATATTACTTGGTCTATTTCTTAAGTGTATAAATGAGCCCTCTTTATTCAGAGCTTTGAAGCTTAAAACTCCCCTTGCCATGACTTTATTTTTTCCTAATACAACTCATTTTTGAATTTCAATGAAAGGGATACCTCTTCACCACTGCAGTCCCAAATTTCCTTTCTACCTCTAACCTATTAAAGCTCTTACTCTAAGCCTCAATGACTTGTTCCTTGGTGAAGTACATCTAAATATATGTACCTTAATGTCTAAGAATTGTATAGGAGTAATCCTTCTGCAGAACATACTATAAAAGCAGGACAAGATACATAAAACATCAATGGATTGATGGAGCAAATCATTATGGCAATACTTGAGGGGTTTATGAGCCCTGCAAGAAGGGTGGGCCACTCCACATTCACCCAAGAGTTTCCTCTGAGTATATGCCAATTGGTGGCAGGCCCTGGAGGTTACTGGGAGATTCTGACCTCTGTATGACAAAGAAATAATAGCAGCAATCTTTTACTGAGTTTCTTTGATGCCACCATGCACAATTCTACATAATTAAAATGTACAGTATCTGAATTTCACAATAATTCTAATGAAGGGGCATAAGCCCATTTTACAGAGTAGAGAACCAAGGGCCAGAGATTCCAAAATCCATGCTCTTTTCACTACTTTCCTCTTTATCTTAGGAGAAAAGTGATCCAAGAGTACAAAGTAATCACAGTCATAACGTAAAGAGCTTTACATTAATGTAACATGTATCTAATCTTAAACCAACTCCTTTAATGTTGGCATCATCATTACTCAAATATGAGTATCCTTCTGAAGTTCAGACAGATTCAGATTACCTAATAAATTGCCAGAACTAGTACCTAAATTCTGTTTTAACTTCATTTCCAGTGCTCTGTAGGCTACAACACACATCTTCAGTACAATGATGTTAACGATTCATGATGCTAACATAATCTAAGTAGGAAGGGTTTCAATTACTACAAATATCATGTCATGAAGAAAAAGAATTTTTAAAAATGAAAAAGCCTTTTGAGTCAGATTCTGCTCCCCAGGGGCCAATGAAGACAGAGACCCACAAATGGCCTTAATTTTTTTTTTTTTGGTCTAGCTATAAATAAATGGTTTTGGCAGTGGGGATTTCCCCAGTCTTTCTGGAAGAAAATTCAGAAATAAATCATGCTGTTTAATGCTGTACCTTCTGCTTTCTCCCCAAAATATTATCTTACTAATTCAACAAGTATTTATTAAAAGCTGATAGACATAGAATTTAAAGTTTCACTTTGAAAAGACTCTTACTTTTGTATTTTGCTCAAAGCCAATACAATCATTTTGTAACAAACTAATAAATCTTTCATTAAGTGATTTCAATCATGGTAATTTAACATAAACATGTGCTTTTACTCTGTAAAGGGCACTCTTGTGTCATATATTGCCTTGATAATTATAGGTCACTTTATTAGTCTTTTGTCTATAGATCTTTTGGGTTCCTCAAACTCTGGCCCAGCTGGATACTTACGGCAATCTTATTTAAGGGGTGGGCAGAGATAACACTATAGAGATCTTACCTTTCCCAGAACCTAGCCCAGAACTTTTCCCATATACTGCCTTCTAAGGAAATTCACCTAACACACATCTCCTTACCTATGAATACCGCATGGTACTTTGCATTCCACTCATCATGGCAAATTGCCAGGTCTTGTACTATAGATACCTGTACACCATTATACATATACTCGTGTCTCTCTCTCTCTCTCTCTCACACACACACACACACACACACACACACACACACACACACACACACACGCTTGTTTGTTTTCATGATATCCTTCCCAGGATGTCAAAGAAGATGCTTTCTGGTCTGCTGTCTTCCCTTGGTAAAAAACAAAATTAAAAAACCTAAAAAGACCCAAACAGATACCTATGCAGCATCATGATGTAGCAAACTGGAATCAAAAAGGTCTTCCAGTCCCCAAACCAGGCTTCCACAATTGTAAAAGAGGGAAAATATCCCTTTTGGCTGTCTTCCTAGGAGGATGAGAGGAGATGATGAATAGGAAGTTGCTCCATATAGGACCAAAGATAACAGAGTGCTATTAGGTTCTCATTTTCTACTTTAGTAGTATGTTCTAAACCCATGCTTTCTGGTCTCCCTCTGCTTCTGCTGAAATTTATTTGCCTTTTCCTAAACGTGGTTTATGCTTTTTATAAAAATAATACACCTACCTTGTTGGAAAGGTCACAGTACAAAGCTTACAAAGAAAAATAGCAGACCCTAGACCCCTCACTCCTCCCACTCTGCTCCCTGCTCCCCAGAGGCAACCATTTCTTTCTTTCCTTCTTTTTTTGGCTGTTTTTCTTCTTCCTATTTCTAAATATAACACTTAAATTGCTATTTTCTGGGGGGGGGGGGGTTGTGGGTTTTTTTTTTTTTCAGACTCTCTAGTATGGGAGATGATACTGTACTTCTGTTATAGTCACCAACCTCACCCACCTGCCACACACACTTACTTCCGTTCCCTGGACTCTCAATGTAATTTTGCTACAATTGTTAGTTAAATCAATATTGTTCATAAATGAATCACAGAGTGTATCATAACAAGACTTCCTTTTTTCATTAATTTTCCATTTTGTCTGCAGTTACTAATTGCTCCATTTTTCTCCTCAGTATTCTGTGTATATCTATCACCAATTCTTCCCCAACAAATCTGACAGAATTGTAAATTCCTGGGGTGTCTGGGCAGTTCAGTCAGCTAAGCGTCTGACTCTTGATTTCAGCTCAGGTCATGATCTCAGAGTTGAGATCAAGCCCCTCACTAGGCTCTGCACTGGGCATGGAACCAGTTTAGGATTCTCTCTCTCCCCCTCTCCAAATACACCTCTCTCTCTCTCAATAAATAAAAAATAAAATAAAAACTGTAAATTCCTCTCAGTTATTTTTTCCTAGAGACATACTTCCTAGTGCCCTCCTTCCTTCTGCTCCAATTTGGACGAGTTGCATTCTAGGTCTGCTGCACAGCTGATATCCCATGGCTTTTCTTCTCCATCACCAAGGGAATTCTCTTCCCCTCTGTCCTGTGTTGGGAGTCCCCACTTCCTGGGTTCTTGATCTTCCACTTTTTTGATTTCAACCATCATTCTGGGGAAGCATATCCTTCAGTAACTCACTGAGAAAGGATGTAAGGCAGGTAAATATTTTTGAGACCCTGCATATCTCAAAATGGGTTTATTTTACTCTCACACTTGAATGAAAGTTTGGGCATAAAATTCTAGGTTAAAAATCACTTCTTCAAAATTTGAAGTTATTCCCTGTTATCTCCTTGCTTCAATGTGGCAGAAAGTCCAGTGCTATTCAGATCTCTGTACTTAGTATGTTCCCACTCTCCCATCCCTACTCCAGACCAAGAAGCCTTTAAGATTTTCCTTTATCCCCAGTGTTCTGAAATTTTATGATTTGCCATCATAAAATCTTTTTAATACACCAACCTGGTCCTTTTCATTATGGAAACTCATATCCTTCAGTTCTGGAAATTTTTCTTCCGATATTTCTCTGAGAATTTCCTCATTTTCCCCCTCTATTCTGTTTCTGAAAATCATGTTAGCCAGATATTGGGCCTCCTTTATTGAGTCTCTGTCTTGTTGTTACCCACGTTACCGTCTTTTGTTTCACTATCTGGCCTACTTCAATTTTTTTTTTTAAGATTTTATTTATTTATTTGACAGAGACAGAGATAGTGAGAGCAGGAACACAAGCAGCGGGAGTGGGAGAGGGAGAAGCAGGCTTCCCGTGGAGCAGGGAGCCCAATGTGGGACTCAATCCCAGGACCCTGGGATCATGACCTGAGCCGAAGGCAGACGCTTAACGACTGAGCCACCCAGGCGCCCTGGCCTACTTCAATTTTATCTTCCAACTTTTCTGATTTAAAAAATATCTGATTATAAAAAAAAATATATCTGATTATACTTTAAATCTCAAGAACTCTTTCTTATTCTCTTTCTGTTCATTTTTTTTTATGGCATCCTATTCTCTTTTAATGGGTGCAAAAGCTTCTCTGAAAATATATTTTGGAAAATATACTGGATTTACTTTTAAAAGTTTTGTGACTTGCACGGTTTCTATGTCCTCTGATTTTTGTTTGTTTTGGGCCTATGTATTATGTGAGATGCCTTTCTCAAAAGACCAGTGATTTTTGGCTAACTGTAAAAGAGGAGTAAACACGCTAATTGAAAGCTCTGTATGCATAGTGGGATTTGTTGACTAACAGGCATCAACTTAAAGTGAATTGGGCAGGCATTATGACGGTTTGGGAGCCCTCAGATATCAGTCCCCAGACTGGACTCCTCTTATCTCCTGCTTAGAAGACTTAAGGCTGGCTGAGAGCATTTTGGGAGCACAGAGGGACAAGAAAACTGATTATTTAAAATTTGCAGACTTTTCTACAAGAAAGGAATCATGTGATCCTTCTTTATAACCCTGCCAGTTAGCTGCAATGACTGGGATATAGTAGAGATTGCTGCATAAGGGCTTCTTGACTGTTTCTTAAACTTTCCCTAAAGCCACTGTTATTGTGTAATAGAATTATCCACACCTTCCAAGCAGTATCATCTAAAGCACATCCCTCTGAATACATGACTGATAGCATGTTAAGAAAAGAAGACAAAACTAGAAAAGTGGTTAAGACTGAACGACAAAGCAAAACCGCAGAATTAGTCACCAAGCTAGGCTATACCTCCTCTTTCCTGTGACTGATTTTTACGGGCTACCTTATCTGGATTCAGAGTCAAGAAGGTGATGTGATCCAAATACATATTCCTTATCCAGGCTGGGAGAAACTGACAGTCTGACAGCACTGCCTGAAGTTCCCTTGGCCCAGGCTACCGGGTTTCCAGGAGTAAAGTTACCTGGCATACAAAGAACCGCACATTCCCACACTAGTCTCCTGGTACTACAAAGATACCTTTTATCATTTAGAGTCAAGAATAGCCTTGAGCAAAGAGAAGACTGCTTATAGGCTCTGGCCCACCTTTTGAACATCACTGTTCTATAATCACCAGAAGTAATAATAATAGTGACTAGATGTAAATAAGAAATAAGAAAGAATAAATAATAATAAATAATAATTAAATAAAAAATAAGAAAGAATCATTCATTAATTCCGTAAAGTTGACCAGAACTCCTGCTCTGAGCCAGGTCCCATGTTAGATTTTAGGGATAAAGATATGAAGAGACACTACACTATTCCTGCCTTTAGAGACTTTACAGACAAGTAAAGGAAGTAAATGAAAACTGTTCTATGTTGAATTTAATGCTACTGTCATTTTAGAAAGGTGAGGGTTTATCATGCCTCTCTTCCCAAATTTGGGATTGCTAAAAAGCATGGAATTGCTAACCCCACACTGAGCTTCTAAGACCTTAATGTGGGGGGGACACCAAATCATTATGTAGGGCTTCCTTAGATGTGAAACCATGGTAGATACAAATAATAGTACTTGTTTTTATTGCAAAGCACTTCATGTATTACAAAGTATTTTTACACCCATATCTAATTCAATTGTCAAAGTAACCCTATGAGGGATGAGATTATCTCCTTTTATAGAAGAAATTAAGTGCTTAGAGAAGTGATTCGCCCTTACAAAACTAGTTAATTTGAAACAGAAACCTAGATTTTTTTATTCTCAGTTCAAAGTTCATTTTAATCATATCATGGCGCCCTCGTCACCCAAATTTTGAAGAAAAGCCTAATGACTCATTTGCAGCTATAAGAAAATGTCTAGAATAATGCCAAGATGTGCAAAATATGTTAATAATATGTACATTTAATATAAAATATTAGGTTTCCTTCAACCTGAAATGGAAAAATTATACAAAAACACAGAGAACGATTTGTGAAGACTTTAAAAAATCATAAATGCCACAATTCTCCCATCCTTAATCTTCCCATAATCTGCTCATATAACAATAAATTCTGGTTTGCCAATAATTTATTTCACAAGTCTTCTATGATACAAAAACACAAAGCAAAATTAAAACATTTCCTACAAAGCCACTGTGCAGATTTTTGAATCAAACCTGAAAGGCTGAGGAAACACTCCCAGAAACCACTCTACCATCTGGGAACTTGTAACCCTGTTGCTTTAATTTCAAGTTCAAAGAGTGGACAATGCATTTATAGTACAAAAATTCAAGTTTTCCCAATCCTTAAGATACTGAGACCATTATTCAAGTAAAAAGGAAAAGCCCTTAAAAAGGCTCAAAAAGAAATTCATCAAGCAATAACGCTTAAAGAAAACCCTTTCCAAAATGGAATTTGGGAGTCGGTAGATCCATGAACAATTTAAATATCCTTTCTGGTGTAAGACAGTTCTTTCATTAAAGTAGACCACTTGTCCTTTTGTAACTGCTTTTCTGTTCTAAGAGGAAAAAAAACACATCTTCTCTGAAATCACTGTATAAAAACGTACAACTAATTTATAAATATAATAATTAGTATTGTCTTATTTGAACATTTACTATGAAATAATTTCAACACAATCACCAAAAGCTTATGCTTCCTCTGATATCAGTCATATACCATATATAGTTAAATGCACTGTCTTGCCAAAGCCCAAGGTAACTGAATCTAAAAATATATATATTTTTTCATTCTGAACTAGCCAGATTGGTATTTAAACCAAACGTCATCAAATGTTGCACTAAACATGCCAGGATGAAAAGGTTATTTAAATACAAACTGTCCAGATGTATCACATAGAATATGCTCCTAGCCACCGATGATTGAATGATTATATTCAGGCTCATCCCCTCTCCCCCAACATGCACAAACATAAGAAAATAAAAATTAAAAAACAGTAAAGACAATGAATGTGAGAAAAGAACTGATAAGTGGAAGAAAACGCAGACTTTCTATAGTCCAATGAAGACAATATAAACTAGAAAGACATCTGATATTAAACAAGTATCAGCTGGGGGAGTGGGGGAATTTTTCTTTAAAATTATTATACGTACTTAGTTTCTACTTTAGTTTTAGGTTGAGACATTGACAGAGATTTTAATGTGAAAAAAATATTTCTAATAACATCTAAATTTGGTACTAGGACAAAAAAATAAAAATCTGTTAACAAAAGCTCTTATTAAAAGAGTTATCTTTTGAGTCATTAAAAGATCAGCTTGATTAGCCCACTTCCAGAGAATCAAACAGATATTTTCTCCTTTCCATAAAATTTCCATAAGATCTTTCCCAAAGAGTTTTCTCTTTTCTCACAAGATGGAACTCCACTGCAGGAAAAAATTAAAAGGGCTCAGAACCCCCAAACCTAAAAATCCACTGATTTAACATCAGTTTTCTACAAAAAATAATCTTTAAGATTCTAATCTTTGCTAAACTAAAAACTCACAAGCAAACTGCAAATCTGAACAGGTTACATTCCCCAACATATATGAAAAGGGAATTTTGGTTTTTTTAGATCTGTGCCATGTAAATAAAGGAGAAATGTACAGAACCATTTTTCAGAATCCAAGGGAAAAGGTTTTCCAATTCAAATGGCAATTTAACAGAGCCACTCATTGTTAAAATAACTTGCAATTTCAATGAGTTCTAAATATTGAAACAGCTTGGAATCAAATTTTCTAATAGTAAATATAAAGAGTAAGCAAGTTTTTGGGAAGAATTCAGAATCTGAAATTTCAATGTTTATGTAATACTGATTCACTTACAATTAAGCAGTTGGAAGTAGAACACACATTTGAGGTTAAAATCAAACTGATATCTAAAACCTAAAATCATAAGAATGCTGCCCTTTATTTTAAAAGGAGGCAGTAGGTTTTCTAATATATGACAAAAAACCCAAAGCCTATCTCCCTGTTTTATAAATATCCATGTCCTTTCTTGGATTCAAAACTTCACTTTAACCCATTTCCCTTGGGTTTCTTCCATCTCACTGAATACCATTGTTGTATTAAGATTATAACATCTAGCCAAAGGCAGAGAGATCACATAAGTCCTCCTGAAGACTTCCAAAACATTAAAACCAGTTGAAAAGCAGAGGAAATACTCTCATGCTTGGAGCTGCTGGGAAATCCTTCTCTCCTTTTAGAAAAATAAACTTCTTGTTCTAAAGATAATCACTTGAAGAAAACATCACTAGTACATGCAAATACACAGCACTATCGATAATTCTACAGAGTAACAGTAATAACATCCTACAGATTTTGCTAGTACTTTGACTTAAAAAAAAGAAAGACTAAGTAAAGAACTGTTATATCAAAGGATTTCTTTTCCAGAAAGAGAAGCGCAATAAAGAAGTCCTTTATTGCGCTTCTCTTTCTCATTCTCCTTCTCTCATTCAAATGTGCATTCCTTAACACTAAAAAAGATTGCTTTTAAAAACAATTAGATGCTACTTTGTTGATGCCATTTAACCACAAAGATAACATCTCAATCACCTTCTATTTTATAAATGTATTAGTTAAATATACAGTATATTTTCTCATTCAGTTGCTTAGGACACCTTTCTCCCAGATAGTCTTATATTTCAAAAGTCTCTGGATAAAAAAAAGAGAAGACTAAAGATTTACTTTTATATGTTTCCACCATTATCAAAAGAATGGCAGCAATTAACCTATCATTTGTTTTTCAGCTTATTAAAACACACTTTGCTGTAAAGAGTAATCTAAATTCAAATATTGTCAATACACACATACACAAAGGCATGGGCAAAAACACTACCACACAATCACTTTCTATGCACACAGTTCTTTAGATCTCCATGAAGCATGGCACAGGGAGCAGCTCAACTTTTCATAAAAATTATATGATTTGACTGCACTTTTGCTTCATTTATGGTGCACTGCAAAATTTTAAAATTAGTGTTTAGGTGTTCACATTATTCACTGTACTGAGAATTCTCTCATGAGAATAAGACATAAAACGTAAAACATTTGGCTTTCTAAATGACAGTGCTGAAACTTGCAGCACAGTTTTACTTTGGCATATATAAAGAAAAATTTTATATCCTGTTAATTCATCACGGGTTTTTAATATTCCCCATTAAAATAATTCAATTGCATATGCAGCCCAAACAGCTGGAAAGAACCCAGAAAAGCGACAAGAAAACGACTTTTTAAAAATGCTGACGCTTTTCACACCCAGGTTCAGTCATGCCCGCTGAAGAGAGGTGTTAGATATGGCTTTATTTATTTTAAATCTTAAAAATGTAGTCCTTTCCATGACATTACAAAAACTGGAACCACGAGCAATTTATCTTCACAGTCCTGATTCTCCTGATGCCAAAACACTTTTTAGAAAATAATTTCTGCAAACTTAGAAGGTATTTTCGACGGATCATTTGTTTGCTATTGCTTAGAGTCTAATTATTTTGTCCCAGATTTCCTAGTGAACTAGGAATACAGAGATAAAAAGGAAACACACACACACACACACACACACACACACCCCACAGTGACTCAGTGTCTGAACCACTTTAGATATGACATCCATTAAGGGGGTCTTTGCTCCTAACTGTGTAAGGGTCCTTAGCTATGGTCTGACTTGCACAAGAAGTACACATGGCCCCTGAGAGGCGCTTTAGTCCCCTTTGGAAGACACTGTTGGAGAGACTATAAATGACACAGTTGCAGAAACTGTTACTAATAGCAAGCCAGGTGGTCAAGAAGGAGGCGAAGCGGTTGCTGTGGCCAGTGGAGCTCTCCAATAAGAAGTAGATGATGTATGGCAACCAGAGGATGTAAAATACACTAGTAATTCGGAACAGGACCATGGCATAGCGCTTATCGGGACAGGTCTGTACCTCCCCAGTCTCCCCACTCTGGCTGCTGAAGCGGGCTTGCCTTTCGCTGATCTCCTTTGTGTGCTGTTGGCAGATGCGGAAGATGTTGAAATAGGTGAAGCACACAATAAGGGCTGCCGGGGCATACAACATCACCACGATGAAGAGGGTGAAGTAGGGGTCGGTGTGCCAGGACTCTGCACACCACTGAAACACATCTCCATGATATCCAGGTTTGCCCCAGTGGAAAAAGGAAGGCAGGAAGACCAGGGTGGAATATAGCCAAATCAGGAAAATACAAACACGTAGTCTCCAAGGCGTAACCAGGGTATTATAGGTTAAAGGTTTAGTGATGGCAATATATCTATCGATGCTGATACAGGCCAGAGAGGCCATGGAGACACTCTTCAGAACAGATACTACAAAACCGAATACCTGGCAAGTCAAAGACTCCTCCACTGGAAGGGGGTAGTGGAGGAGTGATAAAGAAGGGACCAGGCAGCTGACCCCAACCAACAGGTCAGCATATGCCATAGTCTGAATAAAATAACTTGTAGTATGATGGTTCAACAAAGGTGCACAGTGAAATACAAAAATCACAATGATGTTGCCAGAAATAATCAATACAGTGAGAAAGACAATAATCAATACTTCCAAAAGGCAAAAATCGACAGTTTCCAAATTGCCAAATGTCAAGAGGCAAAAAGGGTGGCTGCTCTGATTACCATCCAAGGTAGAGTTCATCTTGAGCTCGGGAGTGATCTCTCACTTCATGCTGCCGCTTGGCTGCTGCCAACAGTTCAGAGGAGCAGCTGCAGTCATTGCGGTCAGCTGTGTGGGTCTGTAATAATGCCAGACGAGCCTTAGTCCCCAAGCTCCTGATGCTGCTCTGGTGCACTGCCTGCAGTACAATTCCCCTTTAAATCCTTCTTGGAATAGGGAGAACCAGCAGCAGTTGTCTGGCCAGTCCCAGATGCGGCCATAGTACCAGGTTTACCATACACATAGCACCAGGGGAGTAAGGCAAACCCCGGGTACAATGTCTTCAGGCCAATGAGGGTAGGGGGTAGGGGCAGAAGAGAAGGGAGGAAGATTAGGAGCTTCAGCAGGAGTTGTAATGAGGCTCCTCTGAACAGCTGATAGAAGAAAAGGAGAGAGCATTTTACATTTTGCATCCAATGCCCTGATCAAAGAACCTGGCTAGCTCAGGCTGGTATCAACCCTCCCACTCCATCCCACCCCACCCGGTACAACCATTCATGGCTACTCTCAACGGCACCCCACATAACTGGTCCTGACTCTACAGAGGAGGAGCAACAACAGCAAGCTTTCATGATCAACATAAAACAAAATCAATTGCAAGCCAGATCAATCTAACCCCATTTCCTTTCATTTGAGCCTTTTGGGGGAAGAAAAGGAATCTGCTTATAGCATTTCCAAAAATATTTTACCATAACTACCACTAATAAAATTACTTAAGATAATTTATTTTCTTCACTGATTCCAATGTAACATTTTGCCTCTTTGAAAACATTTCAACAGAATTTATCTGTCTAGCTCTATTTCAGAGTGTTACCTGTAATTCTGCATGCTGCAATCCAAACAAAAGCCACAAAACATCCTTAACAGAAAGCCTTGCAGTGCAGGAATGTGCCTCAGCCCCGTTTACTGCAGAACTGAGACACAGAGGGAGGGGATAAAGGAGGAGGAGGGGAAAGAGGGAGAAGAGGGGGCTTGGGAAAAGGAAGAAATGGGGGAGGGGAAAGAAAACGCCTATGCGCACACACCCTTCGGCATCTTTAGCAGCTCATTAGAATTCATCGCCAGAGAAGTGGTCCCTGATTTCCCGACTGCACAGTGGGGGAATAACTTAATATGCCTGCAGTGCAGTGTTTGAAAGCTGTTTCCTCGTCTGTCTGGAATCCCCCTTTTAGTTGATGAGCAAAATTTAGACTGCTAGTAAGGACAAGGGGTTGTAACCGGGACAGAATGCCAGCCAGGAATTAGACTGAAACAAAAGCCAAAGGGGTAATGGTGAGAGGAAATTCCAATTTTCTTATAGCATTTTCCTCAGGGACAAAGAGCAATGCTAAAGAATGAAAGTGTGTTAACAGTGCAGTGTTAACTGAGGAATTCTAATTCAGTGACACAAGAAGTTCTAGCTAGAAGTCTAAATGTTCAGCATTAATTTTCTCTCACGATTCCCTGGATATTGGCTAATTTTAAGAAAGATGACAAAAATAACAAGCAAACTTAAAAATCAGTTTTTCAAGAGAAAAAATAAAGAAAACCTCACCCATTCTGAACACTGAGGAAACAGCGTACAAGCACGCTGTTGCTGTATTCAGTGCTACCCTATAGTTTGGAGATGCCATTTCTTGCTTTTAGTTTACTGAGAAGCAGTACACAAAAATACACACAAAAGGTGGACAGATATATATACCCATTTCCACTCAGGCTTTAAAACTGCAAGAAGTTTCCTGGTACAAATCAGCTTATGTATCTTAGAATAAACAATCTCATTTGTGCCTATTTAAAACAATGCAAGTTGGGATTATATTGTGGGATATATTATACTGTGTTGGGATTATATTCTGGCATTCTAGAAAGATGGCACACCTGGGCAAGGATACATGTTATGTGATCCAATTTTCATTTTTTGTTTCACACACATGCCTCCTCACTGCAAGCAAATGGTCCCCCATAATCAGAATCCAATTAATTATATCTTAAGAGCTAAAGCACTCCACTTATTATAGGAAGGCAACACTAAAAAACCTACTGAGCATAAGCTTGATAGCTATATTTGACAGATCTTACTGGAAAACATGGCTAAGTGTGGCATATAAAAAACCCATGGCACTGACCACCCAACTGGTTCAAATCTTGGTCTTACATTACTAAGCCTCTTACCCTCAGTTTCATCATCTGTTAAAATGAGGATCATACTCCCTATTTCACAGAGTTATTGCGAAATAAAGGAGACAGTGTATACATACAAAAGGCTTACCAATATTTAGCACATAGTGGGTATCTAACTTTATTCCCTTTCTTCTCCTAGAACTAAAATACCCTTCGTAGGTAGTCTGTGTTTTTCTGCCAACCATGTTTGCACTGCTTGAGGATGGGGTCCTCTGATTCCTAAAATGCCTCTCTTATTGTGACTGCCCAGTTCTGAGGCACAACAGAATATCCAACAGTTATTTGGATATTTTGCTGTCACACGTTCCTCAAATACATTGAGGCTATACATACGTAAGGCAGTAAAAGTATCTATAAAGAACGAATGATGATATGGCATCAATTATTCCCTCTACACTAATAATTTCTCTGCCTATGTCTCCAGCCCTGACTTCACTCCTGAGCATTCTTTCCCATTTACAATTTGCCTGCTAGCCAATACCTCTTCCACCTGGATGTCCTGTAGACTTCACCCACAGCATGTCCAAAATAAAATACATTTTTCTCAACAAATTGGCCTCTTTTATCTTTTTCCAACACTTTTATTTTTCCCAGGCACTCAGTTAAGAAACTCAGGAATCATTCTGACCACTCTCTCCCCACTCAATGTACTACTCTTATTTACCAGGTTCCTGGAAATCTATATCTACAGTGGCTCTCAATTCAGTTTTTAATACTTTAGGCCATCATTAAATATTGTCTGGGCTTTTAATCTTCTTCATTTTTCAATCTATTCATTTCTGCCTAAACATCTAACTGTATATGCTTTATTATGGTATCCACAGCTCAATAAAAGTCAATGGCTCCCTAGTGCCTCTCCAATCTAATCTCCCTATTCCACACCGCCCCCCCCCATCTTGCCCTCCAGACAAACCAGGTTACTCACTTTCTTTTTGAACTGTCATTGTTTGAGTGCTAATACTGAATGAAAACAAATGATTTCTGAGAGTTATATTTCAATAAACAGAAATAACATTTACCAAAGTCAATAGTACAAGCTTTTCTAACTACTTGTGAAGTTTGTCCTGTTTCTCATTTCGGGTGTCTCATGTATAAAACTAGACAGTTACGCTGATTAAAAAAAAGACATCACACTGGTTAATAACTTGAAAGAATTAAAAATGTAATAAAAATACAAGCTGTTACATTACTATCACTAGTATAATAATAGTTCTTTCAACTTCATTTCTATTTTAATAAAATCACTTGGAGCTATGATCAAAATATTCATATAGGAAACCTAAAACAACAAAAAGCTTGAGAGCCACACTTTACCAAATCAGTCAAGAGTTAAGTGTTTTGTTTCAGATTAAAGAAAAACATTTTCTTCAGAAGAAAAACATTAAGGACATAAAGTGGCAATAAATCTATGTCCTCAACAAAAATCTATACAGGGGCGCCTGGGTGGCACAGCTTTAAGCCTCTGACTCTTGGTTTCTCGGCTCAGGTGGTGATCTGGGATATTGAGATTGAGCCTGGGGGTGTTACGCTCCCCTCTCAGCATGAAGTCGGCTTGGGACTCTCCCTTCCCCTCTGCTCTTCCCCCCTGCACAAACACATAAATCTTTTTTTTTTTAAGTTTTTTAAATTTATTTATTCAACAGAGAGATAAGAGAGCATAAGCAGGCAGAGCGGCAGGTAGAGGGAGCGGGAGAAGCAGGCTCCCCGCTGAGCCGGGAGCCTGACGCAGGGCTCGATCCCAGGACCCTGGGATCATGACCTGAGCCAAAGGCAGCCGCTTAACGACTGAGCCACCCAGGAGCCCCAAATACATAGATCTTACAAAAAAAATCTATACGGGTGCCTGGGTGGCTCAGGTCATGATCCTGGGGCCCTGGGATAGAGCCCCACATCGGGCTCCCTGCTCAGCAGGAAGCCTGCTTCTCCCTCTTCCACTCCCCCTGCTTGTATTCCCTCTCTCGCTCTGTCAAATAAATAAATAAAATCTTTAAAAAAAAATCTATATATACTTCCCTTTTTTTTTTAAGTTTTTATTTAAATTCTAGTTAGTTTACAGTATAATATTAGTTTTAGGTGTACAATATAGTGACTCAACATTTCCATATAACATTTGGTGCTCATCACCTATTTAACCTATCCCCCTTCTTCCCCACCTCTAGTAACCATCAGTTTGTTCTCTATAGTTAAGAGTCTGTTTCCTGGGGCGCCTGGGTGGCTCAGTCATTAAGTGTCTGCCTTCAGCTCAGGTCATGATCCCCGGGTCCTGGGACTGAGCCCTACATCGGGCTCTCTGCTCAGCAGAGAGCGTACTTCTCCTTCTCCTGCTCCTCTTGCTTGTACGCCCTCTCTGTCATATAAATAAATAAAATCTTAAAAAAAAATAATGCAATCTCATGATATACTTGTGGCTTTTTATTTCTGTATGTGTATATATATATATCTATATATATATCTATATATATATGATTGGAAGGAAAGACACTGGAAATCAACTCTACTTTTTAGTGGATCGTGGGTGGGATTACAAGCAATTTTTTATTTTATGTTTTTCTATATTTTATGAATTTCCCAATTTCTTTGTACAGTTGATCCTTGAACAACATGGGTTTAAACTGCACAGGTCCACTTATAAGTGAATTTTTTCAATAAATACTGCAGTACTGTAAATGTATTTTCTCTTCTCCTTATGATTTAAATAACATTCTTTTCTCTAGCTTACTTTACTGTAAGAATACAGTATTTAATACGTATAACATATGCGCTAACCAACTGTTTATGTTATTGGTAAGGCCTCTAGTCAACAGTAGGCTATTAGTAGTAGA